TTCGTTGCCTTTTAGTTAAGTAGCATGAGGAGCCTAAAGTGACCAGGTGACTGTTTCAGCTTTCAGTTCAGTAGAACTTTTTTGTGTTCCCTGGTGGAAGCATTATTTCTTTGGGAATCAAGACTTTCAGACCAATAAATCCAGAATTATAAAAATCGGAGGCATACATTTTTTTTTGTCAGTGATAGTAAGGATTTTCCTTAACTACTAAAAGCACATTCCTGAATTGAACCGCAAAGACTATAGCCATCTACTTTTGAGTCATTTCACTGAACCTTTATAGAACTGTCTCTAAATCAGACCTGAACATTTACTTTCTCTGTCACTCATCATAGGGAATCCCATGAGACCAGGTAGGTATTAAGAGAGGGAAAACAGAGCAGCATCAGTGGATGTCAAGTGTAGACTGCTTATATATACAACGTGCATGCCTACAGGACCTGTTCAATATACTGTATTTCCACCTGACCAAGTGCTGTTGTGCTTACCCAACTGTGGCTTCCTAAGTCAAATACTCAGTTTGTAAAGAGTAGCTTGGGTTATATGACAAATTGGCGGTCCACAGTCAAGTGGTCTATGTATTTCCTTTCCCCAGTGCACAGACATCATGGCAAATATCTTTAAGTAAATATCTTAAGTCTGATATAGAAACTTTCGCCAGTATGGCAGGACCCTTTTTCAAGTGGACACAGTGTCATCATTCACACTGTTCTGAGTTTGTGAACTCATTCAGTTGTAGACACTGGACAAGGGGAAAGCGACTCCATTTCAGTGATGAAGTCAAGTCTCCGTTCACCAGACTTTGAGTTTTTTGTCTTATGTAGCTCAAGTAAAACTTTAGTAGACTGCCTTCTATTTCAGTTCCAGGAATGTCATGATTGATTAATCACTGCCACAGATTTATGTGGGTCAAACCATTTTAATTGTTGCTCTCATCTTCCTGTTATAGTAGTTTCATATACCTTGTCACTGGTGGTTAAGTGCCTCCTCTTGGTTTCTGCCACTTTGGGATCCCATCATTGTTAACGATTAGAAGGAGCCCATTTTAAGCACATTTTTTACTATCACTCCTGGTATACAGATAACAGTCACTAGAGACTTTACTGATATATTTCTCAAAGCAGTGGTGAAGGGCTTGTTCTCTGGATCTTCCTGAGGAACATAGGGAATGGGTAAGCAGGTCACATGTAATAAATAGACTTGCGTTCCTATCTCCCCATAGGCTTTGGATTTCTTCTCCATAAGGGGTTTTCAAACTTTGGCATGTATCAGATCTCTCAGAGGGCTTGTTAAAATAGATTTCTAGGTCCCACTGCCAGAGTTTCTGATTAAGTAGCTCTAGAAATTTTAATTTTTAATGATCTCTAGGTGGTGCTGATGCAGCTGGTCTGGGGACCACTCTTTAAGCACTATTGTTCTATATCATACTAAAAAAATTGTTGAATGTCATGACTTTAATGTAGGACACCATTATGTACACATTTTACTCAACCAACTAGGCATGCGGTTATAGCCATTCTCAGCTACTTAATCTAACACATTGTAGCAATTACACAGGATCAGATTTGAAAGTGCTCAGAAGACTCTATAGGTATATAAAGTATGCAATATATGCAGTACTTGAATAAAGGTAAAGGATACCGTATGGCAGGAGAAAGCACAGGCAAACATGAGAGGCTTTTCTCAGTCACCTATGCCATGATTCAGATGTAAATTACGAGCCATCAAGATACATGTGAGATCCTGCCAGGGATTCTCAGGGATGTCACATGCTCAGCTGAGGAAGGGTCCCTATGGTTTTTTTCTTTTTAAATTGGTTTATGTTTTGTTTCAGTGATGTAAAAAATAGTTTTTATTAAGTTTTATTATCCCTTTTATACTGTTGGTTTTGTCCTCTGTCATTAATATTGGAGATTTTCCTCAAACATCTTTTTTGTGCGCTCACGTTGATTAGTGAAGGGGCTAAAAAGGTAATTGTTACTTCTTCCTTAGTGGGCTGAGGGATAATCTGGGCAGGGACAAAACATTTTGTTATGTTGGTTTCTCCTTGAGTGGTGATTTACTCTTGCTAGCAACCCTCATCTCCTGCTTGGTGAATATGAGCCAGACTGCCAGCCTGGGAGTTGAATTGGGAAACAGGTTGAAACTCTCACTATTCAGTATATATAGAATTTCAGCTTGTTTTCAGTACAGTGCATTCCCCTGCCCTCTGTTGTGCGTGGCATCACCAAATTAGAAGCCTGCTGTATTTCTGGTATAATTACTCTAGAGGAGTGGATCTCAAATATTTTTTGGTCTCAAGTTCCCTTTATAATCCTAAAAATTATTGGGGACCCCAAAGAGTTTTTGTTCATATGGATAATATCTATCAGAAGTTACTGTGTTAGAAAATAGGATTTTAAAATATTCACTATTTTTGGCATCAGAAGTGCCATACTAGATAAAAATATTTATTCATTATAACAGTAACAGTTAAATTTTAAATAATTTACAAATTTATTAAAAATAATTAAAATGATTATATTTATAAAACAAAAAGTGACAAGAATCCCGTTGTTTTAAATTTTTGTAAATCTCCCTAGTGCCTGGCTTAGTAGAAGGTACTAAGGTTTCTCCTGTCGTCTTCTGCATTGAATCTGTTCCTGTATCACTTGCCAAGTAGCTTCTGAAGACCCCGGTATGCTCATGAGAGAATGAGATTGGAAGAGGCAAATAACACACTAATATGAAGGTAGTTTTTACCTCACAGACTCCCTGAAAGGGTTTAGGGACTCAGTAGTATACCCAGACCACAGTTTGAGAACTGCTGCTCTAGAGAATCAACTTCATGTCTTCTATGATGTAGTCGAAAGTAATTACCTGGACATTTAGAGTTTGGCTGGGGACATTACATTGGTCTAAGTTTTTTTAACACAGAATCTACTATAGTAAATCTTAGTATTTTCTTATCGACAAAATGCTATATGGTATGCTCTTGGAAATGCTATTTCAGATTTAAGATAATTGGCTCTCACCTTACACCATGATTCTGTTTTCAAATCTTTAATCGAACTAAAGTTCTGGCCATCCCAGGAGAGAAAGAGGGAACTAAGAGAGGAAGGGAAGTTGGGCCAGGTGGCAGGCACCTCTTATTAGGAATGGGAGAGAGTATATCCCCACTGCCATAGTCATCCCATAGCAAAATCTTCCCAGATCAAACCATGGGAATAGGTATCAACTAATTTGCTGTCATTTCTGTTGCTGTTATTTTTGTGTCCTTCTCAACTTTGTCTTTGCATTTTTTGTGTGTTATTTTGCTAGGATTTTGAGAGACAACAAAGGTAAATCTGTTGTAACCATCAGTTCTTCCTTCTGTCATTATGCATGTTGACAACAGCACTACATCCCCTTCACCATTTATTTCTTGGTAGACTGATACAAAGGATTTTATATTTCAGTAATGACCACAGCACTGTCTCTTGTCCTCATCCTCTTCTTCAGAGAATGTGGAGAACTGATGCTGTGTGACTTCTGAGGCTGGGCCATATGTGCCTGTGTACCTTGGCCTTGTTCACTGAATACTCGTGCTTAACGCTGAGCTGCTATGTGAGAAGTCTAACCATTCTGAAGTTGCCATGCCAGGAGAAACCCATGCCACATAGGGAGGGCATTCTTAGGCACTTTCTTGATAGTTCCAGCCTGTGACCACCTGAGTCTCCCTTTATGAGGCTCAGACATACTCTGGAGCCAAGTAAAGCCAGCCTTGCTATGTCCTCTGCAAATTTCCGCCTCATAGAATCTGTGAGCATAATATCATCATTTTGACCACTAAATTTTGGAGTAAGTTGATATGTAGACATAATAACTGGAACAGATTTGGGTGTCAGAGGTGAGTGGCTACAATAACTGTTGGCCTGAGCAGTGGGCAGACTTGGAAGAGCCTTGAGGAGAAGGGAACAACAGGCCTCAAGGAGATTGTCAGGGCTTTAAGGAAGTTGAGGAAAATGTTGGAAGATGGGGGGGAAAAGATTGGAGACCTTTAAAGGTAATTTAGCAAAATTACTGTTGCAATAATACAGAAAATTGAAAATGTAGTTAATGAACTGAGGAATCAGGCTAAAGAGATTTCCAAGCAAAATGTTGAAAGTACCAACTGTGTTTTTTCTTATGATATGATATGGATAGAGGAAATGAAGCTTAAAAATTTATTTTTTTAGTTTATAAGACAAATTTAGAGAAATATATAGAAGCCAGAACCTGCTGGATTTAAAAGTATTTTTTAACTTTTAGCCTTTGCAGATGGCAAGATGTTCTCATTTTAAATAGGGCCTCAAGGCAAAGATCAAATCCATAGTGGTGATAGGAAAATATCTCTAGGTAAAGATGAAATCCAGGTGTGACTGTAAAATCCATTGTTAATACTTTAGAAATATCTTAGGTGATTTCTCACAGACCATTTAAAATAGACAAAAGGCTTCTAATGATCTGAAGGTCGTTTCTGCAGCTCTTAAGGGTGTTGTTTCATAGCAGCATCACTTGGAGCCTCTGGTAATGAAGGACTTATTTCAAAGAGATGTGTGTGCAAGTTTATCTGAGTAGACTATATTGATCCACAGGAAGCCCACAAAGTTTTTAAAGGAGTTGTATCAATTTTTACTGGAAAAAAATAATAAAAGAGAGGCCTTTATATTCCCAAAGTCCTATGGACATGAAGCATGCTGAGAATATTATTCAGATGCAAATGTGGTGGAGGAAGGATGACACCAAAAGCTTAGAGAGTCAAGCCAAGAGCCAGCCATGGAGAACAATTCCAGGGAATAGAACCAAGACTTAATCAGGGAATTGGCAACATATGCCCAATTTTGGAATTTTGGAAATTGCTGTGGACTAGTGCCTGCTATATATCTCCTGGTCCTATTTTTTATTTTTATTTTTTGAGTGAGAATGTCTGTAGAAGTTATTCTATGCTTGTCTTACATATGTTAGATTTGTGTGGGTTAACATGTTACTTTGTTTCATAGGTCTTCAAATCAAAAGGAAATATACTTGAGGAACTCCTTCTGGGGAGCCTAATTTGCACCTGGACCTGATGTAGATGATGAGATCCAAGACTTTGTCCTGATGTCATAATAGAATGCGAGTTTGGAGGTCTTGTGGATGGGTATAGTGTATTCTGCACATGGGAAGTGTATGAATTGTTGTGACAAGAGGACAGACTGTGTTAGATTGTATTTTACAAAGATCGTCACAATATTATTTCCCATCTCACATTTCTTATTCAATGTGACTTTTCTACTCCCCATCAAGAGGTAAGAGTGTAATTACTCTTTCCTTGGATCTGGAAAGGCTTGTGACTGCTTTGACCAATAGCATATGGTAGAAGTGATGCCATATGACCTTATAAGCTTGGGCCATGGAAGGTGATACGGTTGTCAGCTTATTTTCTTAAGCACTTGCGCCTGGTACTCTGGACTATCTTTTGAGAAATCTTAACTACCTGCTACAGCCAGACCATGAGAAGCCACATAGGGACACCATGTATAAGGACTCCTGTCAACAGTTCCAGGCCCCAGCCAGTTGAGTCGTCCCTACTGAGGCCATGGCATTGTGTAGAGACAAGCTAACTCCTTCATGCCCTGTCTGAATTCCTAAGCTCCAGGATCCATGAACTTAATAAAATAGTTGTTTTATATACTGAGCTTTGAGATAGTAAATGGAACAACTGGGTAACTTAAAAATCACATTATAAGACTCATTAGAGCTGTTGGGTACAGTCAGGGTAAAGGGACTTGGTAGTGGGTACAGTATCAGTTTCAGTAGAAAAGTTTGTGACACAAATTTTAGCTGCCTAGTGGCTTGCTTGCTAGTTTATTTGGTTTGGGGATGCTAAGTCATGTGGCTGTATCTGAGTTCTAGATAGTTGATGTGACATTGTAAATTACTTTTCATTGTTTTATTTGTAACCTTCCATTTAATTTGCCTTTTGTTCTACTTGATTAAAAACTCAATAAATATAATGATACTTTCAATTTGCTTCTATATTTTACACACAATAATATGAGATAAATGCATATTAGTTAATTGATTATAAAATTTTGTCAGTTTTTCAAAGGGCATGTTTTATGAGTTTGAAAAAATAATGTGACAATGCTGTAGGCATGTTATTAAATAGGGGTTATATATACCCTATTTATGAGGAGATTAGTTAACCAATATTATCTCCTTTATTAATAAGGCTTATAGTTTTTCTTTTAAGATATTTCATTTCTCTTCTGGTAATCTATACTTCTAATTTGAATATCATAGAACTTAAATATACTATGAAGTAAAGATTGTAGATAAAGAATACATTTTTCCCAGCATTTAAGAAAAATATTTCTGTAATTGTTTAGGGGGTTTTACTGACATCTAGTGGCGTATATTCCTGTATGTTTAAATTCCTTTCTGTATTTTTATTAGTCTTTCCACGACTATCTTATTTTTAAAAACTTTTAAGGACAAAGGCAGTTTAGGTGTCTAAAGTGAGGGTAGCATTTTTTGAGGATGCATGATATTGTACATACCTTACATGTAATTTAACATGTCTGAATAAATATGATCAGGTTATTCATTCTTAAGTAGTTTTTTTTCCTGCACTACTACTTTTCCTTTATTTGCTTGGGTCCCCTTTCTTACTCCTTTCTCCATTTATATTATTCCTCCACCCCTGCTCTAAGGTAGGTCTAGGTTTTCTCCATGTACATGTATTTCAGGGCATGAGTGATTATACTTCTATAAACATGTAAATACAATACACATGTTTTGTTATATGTTTTAGAAAAATAAGATCATACATAATTCTCTGCATTTTGCTTTTGTTAGCATACCTCTTGGAAATATTTCTAAGGTAAGTAATGTGGTTCTATTTTTTTAAATGCATACATACTATTTAAAATGGTAGATATATTTTAATTTTGTTTTCAGTAACTTCTATTTTGATAGCCATTCATCTTTTCAGTTTTCTGCCACCTTAAAGATAGCTATAATACATATCCATGTGTATCTATCCTTCAATAGGGTAGCTTTTTATGAGTGAGAGTGCTGGGTAAAAGAATGCATTTTTAATTTTAATAAATGTTACCATATTTATTGCCTTTAAAAACAGCTGAAATACCTATGCAATGTATGAGATTACCTTTTCCCTACATTACCATTAGATTTTATAGCATTTTAAACATTTTTGCCTGTTTGAGAGGTATAAAATGATTTATTTTGACTTTCTTCATTACTAGAGAATTTGAACACTTTTTATATGTTTGTTGACTCTGAATTTATCCTTCTATGAATTTTCTAATTTTAACTTTTGTACTTCGTATATTATTCGATGTTAACTCCTTGTTTCTCATCCAGTTTACCAGATATTTTTAATGGCAAAAGTTCATAGCAGAGCTTTTAACTCTTCATATAATTAATCATGTCTATCTTTTGGTTTTGTGACTTTGGCTTGTCAGATATAATCAAGCACGTCTCCCTCACATACGGATTGTATTCTTCCAGGTCCCGCCCCTGGCCCCTACCTTTTTCTTAATTTTGCAGTTTTTATTGTTTGAGTTTTTGCATTATAGTCTTAATTAATCTGGGATTTAATTATTTTAATAAACTTTTAAAATGGAAAGATAATATATACACACTACAGTATTAAAGAGTTATTATATAGTGAACACACCCATATAATCACCAGCCAGTCATTCAGAACTGTTCCTGTCCCTTCTCAATTACTGAGCCTGTATTCCCCAAAACTAACCACTGTTGTGATAGCTGTGATAATTGCCTTTGTGCTTCTCTTTATATTTTTGATGCCTAAACTGGATCCCTAAACACAGTAGTTCAGTTTGGTGGTTACTCACCTTAATGTAAAAAATTTATGTAATATGTGTTTTTTAATATTGATATTTTTGATTTGTTTATAAATCTTGTCCATATTGCAGTGTGCAGCAATTTATTCTTACTGTATGGTATTCCATTGTGTGAATATGTAACTCCTATCTATTCTACTATTGATGGATATTTGTATTTCCAGTTTATGGTTTTATGGAATAATGCTGTTGTGAACATATCCTGGATTTTCTTGTCCTTTCTACGTTTTTAGATTTTGGATCTACAAATTTTACTACCTTGGTTACTCTGATGCTTTTACATAAACGTATTTTAGATTTTGTTTGTATTTTTAAATTTATGTTTGCATCTCTAAACAATACATTTTAAAGTTTTGCCATGTTAACCTTATAAAATGGTTCTTCACCTCATACTTTCCTTGCCTTTGCTTGAGTATTTATTCTTCCATGTAAACTTTAAGACATTTTCTCCATTTTAAGAAAAATAATCTTATGGTGTTTTAATAAAAATTATATCTTATTTTGAATATATATATCTTCTTTTGGAGAACTGAATATTTTTATTTTGATACTGAGTTATCTCTTCCATGAAAATAGAAGCTTTTTAGTTTTTTTTCTTTTTTTAAGCAGGAGGATTGGTCCAAAGCAAGCTAGATTTCTACCTTCTTTTTGTTTTTTCAGGTACTGTAATATGTCTTTAAATAAGATTTCAACCATATATTTATGTGAATCCTAACTTTTATAGTTAAATTTATTTTAACTATTGAAGCGGAATCTTTTTCTTATTTATATTTTCAAATGATATTTTCTGAATTAAAGAGAATCTACTTTTTAAAGTATATTTTGTATTTTATTAGTATATCAAATTAGTATTCATTTTGAATTTTTGATATCTTGGTTATAAAATAGTATCACAATAAAATAAATAATATATTCTTGACATTTCATTTTCTTATAGCATGTGTTAAAATTTCCAAGAAAATGGTGAATAATATTGATTGTGAATACCACTCTATTTATTGATTCAAATAGAAAATGATTTAGTTTTAACATACAATATATTTACTGTTGGTTTTTATTTATATTTAACTAGCTTCCTTCTAAAACTCTATTTTACTTAGAGTTTTTATTATGAAGGGCTGCCAAATAGCATTAAATACTTTTTCAGTATTAATAAAATCATGCCATATTCCCCTTTCATTTGTTGATGATTTATGTTGATTTTCTGAATTGTAATCATTCTTACATTTCTGTAGTAAATTTTACTTGGTTAGGTTAGATAAAACTCAGCTGTGATCCCACATGATCCAGTCTTTTAGTGACTTGTTAGACATAAAAGAGAGTGTTTTACAACATATACATCCTTTAAAGAAC